AGTTATCCCCTTGAATATTCAAGAAGCATACAGAACACCAAACAGACTGGATCAAAGAAAAACTTCCCCTCGCCATATAATAATCAAAACACAAAATAGACAGGTGACCCCCTTCTTGCGACTGTCTGCTCCCTTTCCCAAATTTCAAAAGTCCGTAGTTCTGTCTCCACAAAGATGGAGTCGCTGAAGCCAGGCTTGGCCAGACTGGACTCGTCCCGTCCCAGAATTCATCAAGTCCTTACTTAGTTTTATTTCCACAAATAAGCAATACCTAAAAGCAGCTTTTCCAGACTTCACTTAGCATTTCCTTTCAGCTTCACCCATGAGCAGAGTCTAGGGGCAGACACAACGCGACTGTCCTACGCCCTCCCCAGTCCGGACGGCGCTGTATCTCCTGGATATCCCCAGAGACTGGCAGCTTCGCTCGAGCCTTCAGCATCCCAGTGCAGATCTAGCCTGACCTGGTGCAGAAGAGGCCTACATGTGTCCAATTACCTACTCTCAGTTCCCTCCGCGGCATTTTCTACACAGGAAACCCTAAGTATGGTGAATTCTTAAAAGCTGAAACAGAGCGGGTAGACAGCCCAGAGACTTTAAAAATGTTTTAAATGAAAATCCAACACCTTGAAATGGCCGGTGACACTAGGTTCTACTGGGAGGCCAGCCTGGCCCTTGGCACTCGGTCCTCACTTCTAAGCTTCAGGCACACTCAGTGAAAAACCAGCTCAGCTCTCACGCTCCACGCTACGACGTCATTTGTGTGACTACTAAACCCAGTGTGTGGCGAAAGCATTGAATCTGAGTGTTCTCAGAGGAGCATGCATTCATTGTGACAGAAGGCTTTCATTCCTATTTCAGTTAGCGTAGGAAATGCAGGGGTTGCTTGTGTTTTCATGCACGTGATCTTTACACTTCGCTCGTGTTCACACTCCCACTTCTCTCTTCCTTTGCACCTCCCTCTGACTTCCTTCCCCCAGTTCATTCACCTTATACATCCATGCCACACGTGGTTATTTGTATTTATCTATGTGTGCATATTATATATATATTTAAATTCAGATCCCATGTGTGAGAAAATATTACTTGCCTTGCTTGCATCTCCAACAGCATCCTTTGTTGCCCCCCAACACACACTTTTAGACCTGAAACACCAACCCCAGTAGAATCTGTGTGACAAGTTCCACATACTGAGGCGTTTGACTCCAAAAGGAGGAGGTCTCCTGGAACCGGTTGTGGAACTCTCTAGCTGGAGAGAAATTATTGAGCCGTAGTTCTCATGGCAGTCTGTCTGCTCCTATTTCCTTTCTATAGTTGTGAGATGTTCCTGATAGCTTGTCACCAACACCTGTGAGCAAAGTCGCAAAACCATCCAGAGGTAATGACAGTGGAAATTCCTAGTAACTCTGACTCCAGCGTCCTCGAAGTGACAGAACATCGCCACCTGCTATCTAGGGCTGGGTGTTTTCAACTCAGTCCGGATCCCTCATGCCTTCAGCGCCCAAATAAGAACCTGCAGACTGCTGCACTTGAGCCTTCCAAGTGCGCACGCGCACCGATTTGGCGCGAAGCCATTGAAAAGGCGAAGCCTTCTCTTTCCCACAGCCTTTTGTCTCTGCAGCGCCCTCTGCAGCTCGAGGCCGGTAGTGCAGATGTGCTCGGCAGCGCTCCCACCTGCAGAACTCCAAGGAAAGAGTTCTTGCTCCTCCTGCACTGTCACACATGCTTCTGTGGTCTTTATGGACATTTGGTACATTGCTCATAGTATTTATTTCACACACGTATATTCTCTTTCTGAACAAAAGTAAACGCAAAGATTTACAGCATGTCCCCAAATAACATGCATGTATATATTTATATCCATTCTCGCTATAAAAGCCTCAGAGAAGTTCACTGATTATAGTCAATATAACTAAAAGTGATACCGCTTATTTAACCGACCAATAATGGCAGACATATTACTGTCTGGGACGTGTTTGTGTTGGGTTTGGATGGGATCTTCATCTTCCCTTACAGAAAATCTCTTGCCTCGAACATCATGAGAAGATGTTGATGTTTTTAACAGTCCCATCGAATTACCAATAATGGTATCAACCCACTCTTCTGTTGAGAGCTGGTTTGACTGTTCCCAGACCTGGCGTCAGGATAGCTGTGCACAGCAAGGCCTCATGTTCTAGTAAACTCCAGAGAGAACAGAGAGCGGAACTCAAGGGCAAGATTTCCACAGCATTGAGTGGAGGGTCCTGTGTCTCCTAGGAAGTCTCTGAACTCATCTACTTGTGGACCCAAAGGACAGGACATCTGACGTCAGAGCAGTGGGCCAGGTCCAGAGCAGACTGGAGAAACTCGGGGTGGTTTCTAACTAATAAAAACATTTACCTTAGTTTGTAATTTCTGAAAGTTCTTCACATCCACTCATGGTAAGATTGACTGCATAAGCTGAAGGAAAGCTCAGAGTTATTTTTTAAAAATGAGGGAACGGATGGGCAGATGGCTGTTAGGTAAGCTTTTGGGTAAGAGTCGTATTTTAGTCCATTTTAAATCCACGTGTGTTTATGATAATGAAGTTCCTCCCATAATGAAAAACAGCTCGATATCAGTATGTTGCTAACTGGAAAGGTAAAAGTCATGAGTGAACCGAAGAAAGTTTGTTTGCAATTGGAAGATTGTAAGCACATTCCACAGAGACACTAGCTTATGAAATAGTCCTTTGGAAATTATAGAAGACAGCCCTGCCCGAGTGGCAGCTCCTCTGTGGCCAAAGCACACACCGGGCTCTGCACTGGCATTTTCTTGTGACTCGTGGCTCTGAAAGCCCACATGGAGAACAGGAAGGGTCTGTCCTGAGGGTTCTTGTGAGGAAATGATCTCTGGCTGTTCCCTAGGGAGGATTTGTGGCCAGCACCAGTGTGTCTGTTCCCTTCTCTGTCTCTGCTGGAGATGCACTTTTGACCTCTGTGTAGCCTGCTGGTGGTGTGACCAAGACAAGTCACCCCAGCTTGCACGTGGTGAAGGTGCAGGAAGGGAGCCAGGGAGGGCAGAAGGTCGACTCTTTACTGCTTTCTTTCTCACTCCGGAGTGAACAAGTAGCTTCCCCAATTTTATCTCATTTTTTAAAAAATCTTCCCCCACTGCTCAGGTATAGATGGACATGCCTGTGACTCCAGTATTCTGGGAAACTAAGGCAGGAGGATGACTTGTGCTCAGAAATTCAGGCCTACTCTCGGCAGTGCAGGATGAACCCTCAAATACGAAACAAAACAAACAAATAAAACAGTTAAAATAGCTTGGAAAAATAATGCAAGTGGTAAGTCAGAAGGAGAAAGAAGTTGCAGCAAGTAGCAAGTGAATCCTGACAAAGGGAACTTCTTGTGGGCTCGGGGGCTCTTGCTGTTGTGCTCGGCACTTTGCCCGCAGGCTGGTAGTTTGGGCTGGGGATGGAACCCAGGACTTCACCAACGCTGGGCAAGCATTTTGTCGGTGCTACCTTTTAGCAGCTTTGTTTTAAACACTGTTTTCACCGAACGTCAACGTGTGTTCGTACCGATGTGTGTACATTAGCACGCATCCAGGAACTCAGACCCACGAAATCAGAACTTTGGGCCCAGGCACCTCAGTATTTACGTGTGAAAGAAAACCAAGCTCACTGGTGTTGTGACCCAGGGTTCACACTCGGCACCTGCCGGGTATCAGAGGGCGCCCTCTCCCTGCGGAGTCACGGCACTTTGGGCAGTGCAGGCAGACAGGAAAGCATTTCTCCTTCTCTGCACCCTTAGGACTATGGCCAAAGTCTCTTGACCATGGACTTCCACTCAACCCCGCTGGAGCCTGGCTTGCAGGGGTCGTGAGGTGAGCCAGGTGGAAAGCTCATCAACTGCGGTCCACGGAGCGGCCTAGTCCCGTGCCTCCATCCTGCATGCGGAGGAGGTGGAGAAAATGTAGGACCTGTTGAGCAGAAACTTTTCAGGGCCCCGCCCTCTGCCCTCCCTGCCCTGGAGTCCAGGGTCTCAGGCATTAAAGATGTAGATCTCTCTCTCTCTCTTTTTAATTAACTTTTTTATTTAATTAACTTTCTTTTCATTTATTTTACACACTGAGCGCAGTTTGGATGGCAGACTTCTGTGAGAGTTCTGCGCGTGCTCCGTGCCTCTCAGGTCCTTGCCTGGTCCTCGGGCACCCAGGTGAGGCGGGTTAAGGTCACCACGATCTGCTTGAGGCTGACACTCCTGCACCTGGTCCCAGATACCCCATCCTGCCTCCACACAGGTGTCAAGCTTTTGGATCAGAAATCTCTGCAGGACCCACCCAGAGCTGACCCATCACGACGCCCTTCCTGGTGTCCCCCACAAATCCACTCCTCCCTGAGCCCTGTGTTCCCTAGTGAACCAGGCTTAAGTACATAGACCATGGTTCTGTGACCCTGGCTCTTCCACATACGCACCCAGAGCTCAAGGTATGGCAAGTAAAGGCCTTTTTCCCTTCGTTATTTATTTTGTCCCCCCCCCCGAGTGTGTGTGTGTATGGGGGGTGGGGGTGCATTGCCACAGCACGTGAGTGGGAGCCAGCGGATTCTTGGGAGTCAAGTCTTGCCTTCCACCAAGTGGGTTTCAAGGAGGGAACTCGGAGTCATCAAGTTTCTATGAGCCAGCCCCGTCCTCTCCCTTTCACCATGGCCGCTCAAGGGGCTCTTCATGCTCCACCTGGTCCCCGCAGCCCCACCCTGGCCCCTCTTTGTGCAGCTCAAGGAGGTGTGGCAGGTGTAAAGCGTTTTGACCCTAACCGGGGCTCAGACCCTCTACAAGCCCCGCCCACCCGAGGCTCCGCCCCCCCACAACCCGCCCCACTCACCCAGGTGTGAAGCGTGCCAGGGTTGCCTTTGGCCCATGGGCCTTTGCGCGCCCGCCCCACCCTCACCTCGTGCCCTCTGCGTGCCCCGCCCTCCGAGGCTTGGCGCACCTGAGGCGCAGCTGCTGCAAGGCCCTCAGCAGCCCGTGGCCTCGACGTGCCACCATGGACGCGGCGCCTGTGTCCCCAGAGCCCTTGCTGGTTGTCCCGCAGCCTGAGGTGCTGGAGGAGCTGCAGCAGGCACAGCTGGGGCCCCTGCCCCGACTCGCCGCCATTTGTAGGCTCAAGCGGCTGCCCTCGGGTGGCTACTCCACCACAGACGACCTGCATCTGGTGCTGGAGCGCAGGCGCGTGGCCAACGCCAAAGAGCGCGAGCGGGTGAGGGGCCGGGGCCACCTTACTCCCGCCATTGCCATCGTGCTAGCGGGTGTTCCACACTCAGCACCTGCGCAGTCCCTTGCAGCCCTCCGGGTTGACTTCGCCTCAGCGAGGCTTGACCCGGGTCCCCAGGGGCCTGCATGCAGCTGCGCTGTTACAGGTCGCGGGAGTGGCTACCTCACCTGCTAACCCTCCTGGATGGCGAGGGAGCAGAGGGAATCCCTTGCCAATTTCAGAGCCAGCACCAGGACAGCTGCTTTACAAACGGTGTACCGGAACCCCTGTCTCACATCTGGAGGTGCAGCTTGGGTGCTAGTGGGGTCCTCTGAGTCCTTTAACCTGCCTCAAAGGGTGGATGGGGGCCTCTCGTGGAAATTACTATTACTTATTCCTTTTTTTAAAAAATGTAAAATTCATCTGTTTATATCTTGTGTGAGCGTTTCGCCTGCATACATGTATGTGCATCGTGTGTGTACCTGGTGCCCAAGGACGTCAGAAAGGAGGGGGGTGGGTTTCCTGGAACTAGAGCTACAGACAGTTGTGAGTTGTCATGTGGCTGTGGGGAACTGAACCCAGGTCATCTGCAAGAGCAAGTGCTCTTAACTGCTAAGCCATCTCTCCAGGTCAAGTTACTGTTGTTTTTTATTCTTATTCAGTTATGTGTACGTGCACCTAAGTATAGGGACTGGGAGAGAGGGTCCTGGAACGGGAGTAATAAACAGCTGTGAGCCGACTGATGTTGGCACTGGAAACTGAACTCTCAGGTCTTCTGCAAGAGCTACACAGGCTCTTAATCTCTGAACTGTCTTTCTGGCCCTCGTGCAGGCTACTTAAAGGTGTTTTTGTTTGTGTTTGTTGTTATGGGGTAGTGTGTGTGTGTGTGAAGTGTGGAGGTCAGAGTACAGTTTCATGGGTTCTCTCCTTCGATCTTCATCTGGGATTTGGGGATCAAATTTAGGCTGCCAGGTTTTGTGGCAAGAGCTTTTACCCACAGAACCATCTCCCTGGAACCACTCCCCATAAGTAAAGAAAAATGTAGTATCTTAATCTCCTCGAAGCTGTGTTGAGGTGGACTGTGTTTAGAGCGGCATCTGCTGGTAGATCCTAGTATCTCAGGCAAAGCTTGGCCCCACAGAAGTCTTGGGTTTGACAGTAGCAAAGGTGACCCTGGAGCAGGAACGGAAGAGAGAGCGTGAAGCTCACCTTTAGACCTACTACTTACTCCTAAACTTCTGAGCCAAGCGCTTCAGAAATGAACACCTGGAAACGCAGTAGGGAAAGGACCATGGGAGGCAGAAGACGTCACAGAAGTTGGGGAAGGATGCTTTTGCCAGGAGTCCCTGTTGTGATTTCAAGGTCACCGTATTTCTTAACTTTCATTTAGAGCATAGTTGGAGGTCACACTCACAGGCCTCTTCTGTGGCTTGAGGAAATGTCTGTGCGAGGTAGTGTAGTGTATCACTGTGGCCTTTTGCTTTCTAGATAAAAAATCTCAACCGTGGCTTTGCCAAACTGAAGGCAATGGTGCCGTTTCTGCCACAGAGCCGGAAGCCCAGCAAAGTTGACATCCTGAAAGGTGCAACGGAATACATACGGGTGCTCGGCTGTGTTCTGGGAGAAGCAAAGGCCTCAGAGGTATGAATATTTAAAAATTTGAACTAAACCTGGGTGTGGAGGGTCTTATGTCTGGGAGACTGAGGCAGGAGGACTGCTGTGAGTTCAAAGCCTTTCTATACTACAGAAGGAGACCTTGTTCCCCCAAAAGTTAGTAATTTAGAACAGCAGTGGCCACCATTTTTTTT